CAGTGGATACTGGGGTACTTTTATTTTAATTTCTCATGTGTAGAAGGAGGAAAAATAAAACATTCCATAATAGGTACCCTGCGTGACCGTCGGATCACTCTTAATATACCACATGCCTTCTGTAAAATCCCTCAATTTAAATGAGTATACAAGCAAAGCAATTTAATAATCCAAACGCGTCCGCCTCGTACTCACGACTGACGTCTTATATACGCGCATAATGTTATTAATGGTGGCGTATATGTACCGTTTATCCCGTAGGATGGGCACGCACACGCGTGTCACGTTTGTCCATTTCTCGGGGATATCACGCAACATGAGGGAATTGTGGATGTATCTAACTCGTTCTACCACTTCTTGAAAACATTAACTCGGAGACATTGGAGTGAAGTCGCTTCACCGGAATTTTCGGGGCTCGGGGGCACGTGAGGGGTCCACGGACGGGGGAGGAATGTTAGAAAACAAATTGAAATTCCGTGGACAGTCGAGGAATAATTTTTGGGAGGGAGACGGTGAACTCTGTTTAGGGGGTAAATTATGAAATTTGAGATTTCACTGGAATTTCAATGAAATTCCAGTGCTGATGAGAATTAGAAAATTTATCTGAATCTCTGATCAAAACTTTTACCTCATTTTTTCTAATGTCCGTAGATTTCCGTGGAATAATTCTTCTGAAATTTACAGTTTCCATTGATTTTTTAATTTTTTAATTTGATGTTTTATTGTATTTAGAAACTATCTTTCAAATTGTGAAGTAATTGAATCGTAATAAATTCGTTGATATTGGGAATTCTATCAGAAATCGATTTCGTGCCTGAAAAAATCAGGTTGCCGAAAGTTTAAACAACTTCAATTATTTATTTACAAACAATGAATGGTTAAAAAAATTATAATTCTGTGTAACATGTAATTTGAATGGCGCTGAATGACGAAATTTATGAAAATTTCGTGACTTATTTAAATTTAAATCGTAAACATGAAATATGGAATTTCATTGAATTTCCATTGAAACCCGAAATTCTATGATTGCTTCCCCAGAAATTGAATGCAATGTCACTCTCATCAACGCTACTGGTCATATCAACTGCGCGGAGAGAAGTTTATGATAAAAATTATCTACCGTTCTATAAAAGTGTATCATGAGTCATCGTTTTCTCATTTCTATCCCGAAATTTAGTAAAAATTAATATATGATGTACAGTAATTTTTACTCTACCGGCGGGGTAATTTTTATTTTTATCAGGATAAAATTTCTCTAACGTAGAATAAAACTTGCTCATCATATATTAATGTCTATGAAATTTCGGAATAGAAATGAGGAATCGATGGCTCACGATACACTTTTATAGAAGGGTAGGATAATTTTTATCAAAAATTTCTCTCGATGTAACAGTGAAAAATCAGGAAAAAACCGGAAATTTGACCTTAATTTCCGTACAATCCGTCTCGCGAACAAACAGTTTACGGCGCCATCGTGTCGATCTACCCCCTCTCTCACCGGATAAACATCAATAATCAATAACCATTAACCAGCAATTTTTCTGCGGAAATCGAATGAGAAGAACACAGGTCAAAATAAACTCACCAGTTGATACTCAAGTACACATGCCCGTGTGGCAGGCTTCACCATAATTACGAAGCAAGGACTATTCATCAGTCTGATTATACACCTCCATATTCCTTTACTTTTTACCTATCTCGACCTCGTTCATCCGCCTCACCCCTCACATTTCTCCCACAAATTTTTATCCTTATCTTACTCGTGATAATTCGCCGCTGAAATTTCCGGTAACACGAGTTCGAAATTTACCTCGCATCATATTTCCACTGAAATTTCCGAAAATTTTAGCATTACAACTGGGGCTTTCGGTTTATTTCTTCCATGAAAATTTATAGAAATCCAGGAAATTCAGGTAAATATATCCGAATTCAGCATAATTTAGTCCTGAGTATTCATTTTTTATTAAAATTTTTTTATTGTAAATTTTGATTTTTTTATTGAAAGTTTTTCTTGAAAATTAATTTTCAAAAATAATTTGGGAACTGCCACTTTCCTGCTGCAAAAAAAATCTGGATTCAATAAAAATTTCAGTAAAATAAAAAATTTCGTCATTGAAAATCCAAAATTTCATGAGAAAATTACCGGAAACTGAATTTCACCTCAATTACTCCCTGAAAATTCACAGAAATCAGGAGAATTCAAATGGACATTTTCTCGGATTTTCAATTACTCTGTATACAATAAAATAAACTAGAAAATAAAATAAATAACGATTTCAATAAAATTCAAAATTCAAAATAAAACCTAAAAAATAAAAACTTTGAAATGAATTTATTCTTCCCGCTACCCCCCCCC